AAAGTATCATGTGTGAAGTGGTATTCATGTAAAAGTCACCACAATGTGAAGTTAATATATGGCTCACCTTGCCAACAAAGTCCGACATGTTGAAGGTGGCCATGATGAGGATGGGGAGCCATTCACCTAAGGTGGAGTTTCGTATCTCTGACTCCAGCCCGGGAAACAGACAGAGCGTGATGCTGTAGGTCACAGCTATCGACAGCATGTAGGCCCAGATCACACGGGACACCACGTAACGATGCAAGATCATGTCTGGTTTGAGAACACACACACAGGACCGTATTAAAAATTCAAATGATTCACTCGAGCAGTCATTTCATTGAGATCGCTCCTCTACCTAAACAAAAATCACCAGGGGATGCATTTAAATTTCAAATCCATCTGTTGGAGTCAGAGGGTAATTGAGAAGTGATTAGACAAGATTTTGAAAGAGACTACCTCGGAGCCCGGGCCAGCTCCTTCTCATCTTGGCTTTTGGGGCATCAAATCGAACATAGGTACCGCCCGCAATGTCCTCGACGCTTTCCTCCACAGAAGACGCTCCTGTACCACCGTTTCCCTGAAGAGAGACAGACGAGATGTTTACTTGGTCTTTACACGTAGTGGGTGTGCAACAGAAAACATGAACATTTAATATCAATGTGCTGAACGACCCTAGCTTCAGGAACTCATTTGTGTTGGATCCAATGACGTATTTAAAAATAATTAGAAGGCTAATCCTTCAACACTGTGGGAATGATGTCCTAAGGGAGAATTTTCTAGAACATACTTGTAAAAACTACAAGATTAGGAGTGTTATTAAAGATCACTACATTACAACCCCAATGTGAAAAAATCAACACGAAATAGACCCGATAATGATAATGAGTGAAGATGTGGTAAAAAATAAGAGTCACAAAGCAAGAACATTATGTCGCGGGCCCTAAAGCGACAAACTTGTTAGTTTGCAGACTGTGAAAACAACAATCAGAAAGCACTTTTCATGAGATCAGAGCTCCAGCTACTCATATAATTACTTACAGTTTGGGTGGTATCCAAAAAAAACTGATTAGAGTGAGAGAGGAAGAAAAAGATTGCTTTCTCTCTAAGTGATCATTTTAGATCTTAGCCGCTGCTTTAAACTTATATTCACGATCGTTTCAGGATTTTTAGAGGTGAGTGAAAACGGTCTTGTAAGTTAATGGGCTACATTTCCCTGTTTCACACTCTCATCTCTGTGTGATGACAGAAACAGAAAAACATATGTAAATGAGAACAGCGTTTTGGGGATATTTGCTGTCCCACAGAATAAATATATTACATAAGAGTACAGAGAGTAGGCGAGCAGCAGAGAGGTGGTGATGTTAGCTGCATTAGCTGCAAGATGCAAACTTTGTTTTGGAGGTTTTGGAGTTTTTTGTTTTGCGGGTGATATAGTTTTGGAGTTAAAGTAAGCAAACGGTGACTCCAGAAAAGAACAAAAACCCAGCTGGTTATTATATTAGGAATGCAGATCCATTCTGCAGGTGTGGGCAGTACTTATCATCTTTTGAAGTCACAGCCTCCCTCATATACTTATCCTTATCTTTGGGATAAAAAAAGGGTCCTTTGTCCTCAAAAACACTGATTCTGTCCCCTTTTAATTCCCTATGCTAGAAAATACTGAACTGTATTCATTTTTAAACATAGTTCTGAGTGGGAAAATTAAGACTTCGTTGCTCATTTCTGAAAAGCATTTGAAGGTTCTTTAAGGAAACACTAGAGGTAGCCATCACACAATAAATAAACACATTCACTTTTACTGCTTTGACCTTTACATGTTTTTGTTTTTTTCATTAGCAATGGCTTCTGGGATACATGACATTCCCTTTTTATGACAGTGACTATTAGAGAGGATGGCTGTGACCGGCTGAAGGTTGACGTAA